GCCGGCCACAGAGAAAGTCAGTCGAATTTCCAACATGCCTATGTTAGAGAGGCCAGGGCAACTGCTAGAGGATGCTCGGAGTTTGAAAAAGCAAAGAAACAAAAGCGATGTAGATGGTTCCCCGCCCAATTTGGAAGTTACAGATATGGAGGCTGATGGAGGCAATGTGTCTGGCAGGAAGGGGTCTACTCATGTGCATCACATCTCTCCTATTGTCGACGGGAGAGAAATCAAACCTTCCTATGCACATATGGTTTCTGGGTATTGCTGTTAAAGAAATATGCACATGTATTAAGCAGTTAGTCTGTTAAGTGGTTAGCTGGAGTTGTTAGGCAGTTAGAGAAAAGCTGATGAGCATTGTATCTCTTATAAATTGGTGTACTTGTTGATATGAAAGATCATCCTTTTCCTGTGTAAATACACCATTGAAATTAGTTTTCTAATATGGTATCATTCGCTAAAAGATCCTGGCGTCATTGTCGCTTCCGCCGTTGCGCCGATTGAATTCCTTTACTCTCCTGCCGTTACTACGGCATAGTTTGTAGATTTTTTTTCCGAACTTCAGTTTTGTTTTCGTTGTTCTGTTGTTTCTGCTCCTAGTTGCTTCCATTCTCCTCGGTGATCCTGGTAACATTTTCTCGTCGGTGATTGATCTTCTCAACCGCTGTTCTTGATTGCTTTATCTGCTACGGTACATGTGGTTTATCGTTGTCGTCATCATAGTTACTGGGAATCTTCTCAATTCATCTTCTATCTCTGTTCCTGTTCGGTGTGCATGCTTCCAATCTGTTCGACCAAATGTTTCAATGATGTTGCTGGTGTCTGATTTGTTTCAGTAGAACGGATGAAATCATTCAACTATGATATTGCGACCATTTCTCTTCCGCTTTGTTGGTGTTCTTATTCAATCGGCCTCGCTCTTCTTGAGCAACTCATTAGCGGCAAGAAAGATGCTGCCAGAAACTTTGCTTGTGGCCACTATTCAATTGGCAAGGAGATCGTCAACTTGTGCTTAGACCGTATCAGAAAGCTCGCTGATAACTGCACTGGTTCTGGTCTTGGTTCTCTCCTTCGGGTGCGTCTGTCCGTTGATTACAGCAAGAAATCCAAGCTAGGTTTCGATGTCTACCCATCTCCTCAAGTCTTTACTTCTGTTGTTGAGCCCTACAACAATGTTCTCTCGGCTCACTCTCTTTTGGAGCACACCGATGTATCTGTTCTTCTTTACAATGAGGCCATCTACGACATTTGCAGGTGCTCTCTCGACGTCGAGCGACCCACTTACACCAATGTTAATCGTCTTGTCTCTCAGGTGATCTCCTCTTTGACTACTTCACTAAAGTTCAATGGTGCATTGAACGTCGATGTAATCGAGTTCCAGACCAACTTGGTCCCCTACCCAAGAATCCACTTCATGCTTTCGTCTTATGCTCCAGTCATCTCTGCCGAGAAGGCTTACCATGAGCAACTATCAGCTGTTGAAATTACCAACAGTGTTTTTGAACCCTCTTCTATGATGGTCAAGTGCAACCCTCGTCATGGCAAGTACATAGCTTGTTGTTTGATGTACTGTGGTGATTACATGCCCAAAGACATCAACGTTGGCATTGCCACCATCAAGACCAAGCGCACCATTCAGTTTGTGGACTGGTGCCACACCGAATTCAAGTGCGGCAACTTCATATGAACGAGTACGCTAAAATAAAAAGGTTTTGATTCCTGAAGGAATTCCAGATGAAAGAAGGAAAATGTGGGCTTTGTTAGCTCAAACAGGAGGACAAAAAATGTATTCGTCAGTTGTTCAAATTCTTCATATCAAGTAGTTTTAGTCTGTCAAGATCCTTGTATAAGAGGATGAAGAAGAAATAAATGAAGGTGAATAAGAAGAACGAAAGGAAGCATCAACACTTTCGATTCAAAGTGAACGAAAAGAAGCATCCGCACTTTCGATTCAAGAAGAACGAAAGGAAGCATCGGCACTTTCGATTCAAAGTGAACGGAAGGAAGCATCCGCACTTTCGATTCAATTGTTCATCTTTTCATCAAGAAGGTTTAGAAAGTAAGAAGAATGTTAGACTGTTAAAGAACATGCACGTGTATTGCTGTTAAAGAAATATGCACATGTATTAAGCAGTTAGTCTGTTAAGTGGTTAGCTGGAGTTGTTAGGCAGTTAGAGAAAAGCTGATGAGCATTGTATCTCTTATAAATTGGTGTACTTGTTGATATGAAAGATCATCCTTTTCCTGTGTAAATACACCATTGAAATTAGTTTTCTAATACTGGGACAGCGTCGGAGAGCATTTTTCCTTATGTGTTACGTCAAACAGATTCTGTTGAGGTTTCAGATGAAGATTGTATTGTGGATCACTCCGGACCAATTATGAGGGTTTGTTTCTCTGATCTTGTTCATGATCAAATTGATTAGAGCATGAAACTGGTTTTAATTATTCGTCTTCTTGATAGATCAATTGGCTATAAAACTTTGTTGTCTAGGGTGTTCATATTATGGAAACCTAAAGGGGACTTACAACTTGTGGACATGGAGAATAATTATTACTTGGCTAAGTTTGCTATGGAGGAGGACTAAATCAAGGCTCTCACTGAAGGACCTTGGATAATTTACGGAAGTTATCTGACGGTACAGCCATGGAGCCGGTCGATTTGACTTCCAAGAAGTACCTATCTCAAATTCTTGTATGGGTGAGGCTTCTGGGTTTACCTTACCATTACTATTCGAAAGCATTGTTCAGAAGAATTGCGGACGCAGTTGGAAGGGTGGTGAAGGTTGATTATAATACTCAGGCAGGAGGTCGACGTAAGTTTGCACGGTTAGCATTAATAGCCGATTTAAATAAACCTTTAAAATCGTGTGTTGAAATTTCATCCAGAAGCTTGAATATGAGGGACTGAATCACATCTGTTTTAAGTGTGGTACTATGGACATTCGAGTAGTAAATATGGCGTTTCAGAAGAGTTGAAGAATGTGACTTCTGCGGTGGATAACCAGGTGGATGATAGGAAGGAACCATCTCTCGAGTCACCTGATAAGAATTTATATGGTCCTTGGATGGTTGTGGAAAAGAAAAAGTGCAAGTTGCAGGTTGAAGTGAAGGAGAATTCGAAGGTGGTGAAGGATGCAGGTGATACTGGCACTTCAACTTTTGCAGTGCCGTCGGATCTTCAAGGTGAGGAGGGACAAGAGTCTGCATCAGCATTTAAAGGCAATAACAAGGGTAAACAGGTAGTGGCATCCAAGAGTAAAAGCAAAGTTCACAAGGAGTTTGTTCCTACGGCCTCATATAATGCGTCCAACCCGAAAAAGAAAAAGTCTCCGGCTAATAAGAATACTACTAGTGTGAAGGTGGTGCCGACTCAAGAGGGTAAGTGCACGAAGATAGCAGTGCGTACGATAGATCATGTTCCAGGTTCACATATGACTGTTTCGATTATGGAGGGTAAGAAGGATAATCACAGTAGCCCTTACTACAGCAAAACAGGTTTTTAGCGGTGTTTTTAATCCTATAGCGGTGTTTATAAGTGCCGCTAAAATCTTTCCCGGTGCTTGCAAAAATACCGCAAGAAGTGTCGCTATAACGAACGCCGCAATTGTTAGCGGCGTTTGTGAAGAAAACGCTGCAATAGGTCGCGACATAAGTTGTATAAAACACCATTAAAGACATTCTTTACACCCACAGTAATAATCAATTCTACAAATCAAAGCATATATTCCAGTTATTAAATAAAAACAAGTCACTTGAAACTAAAAGAGTGAAACATTAATATCACAAAGATACATACATATGTGTTACATATATTAGAAACAAAAAAGCAAACTAGTTGCATGTGTATTTTCACGCTTCCCATTTATAACTCTAATATCCAATGGCAATCTTTCCCAATTTCTCGCTACGTACACCCAAGAATCAAATTGCACTTTGCAAGCATATCATGAACTTCTTTACCATCCCAAGAATCAATTTTGTAAGATCCATTTTCCAAGTGCAGAATCCCACTAGCCAATACAGTAGGAATGTGGTTTTTCAAAGGGGAATTAACTTCACAAAGAGTGTTGTAGAATTCAAGCTGCATGGAAGGAAACAAAAAACTGAACAGTATGTAAAAGATCCATGGACACTAGGAGTATAAATTTGCACATGCACCTACCTCAGTGCCTAAGCCGTGTATAAATTTGCAAATGAAATCTAATATACCCAGCAAGCAAAGGATTAAACACCAATCTAACAGATTTCTACTCCACTAATTCAATATTGTGAACTAATTCAATCAACAAATCTGAAGAATCCAACAGCAAGCAAAAGATTAAACACCAATTTGACAGTCTTTTAAACTTCACCCCTAAATAACACATATTGTAAATTTTTCAACACATCATCAAAAGACTAAAATGTAAAAATTAGGAAGGTGAAAAATACCTTTGATTTTATTAACCAAACACTTGGCTCCTTCTTCAATACTGGTGGATAATGACTGATCAAAAGAGAAGGATGATGATGTTAGCCGCACTTGTAAATAATGTTGAGATTTTGAGAAAGACAGTTGCAGATACGAAAATGATGGATCTCTCTATTTCAAAAACGAATTTGACATATATGAATTATTATTAAGCTATTCATTTTCTAAAATCTAAAGAAACAAGACCTAGAAATTAAAACAAACACAATACACTAATAGTAATAAATCCGTTTGAATGCCGAAATCATTCATTATATTAGATTTCGATTTTAAAAAACCTGAGAGCAGGCCAACTTAAAGACACCAAACAAAAAAATACAACAAAACAGGGGCTTTACTCTGCTGGCAAACTAAACCTATAACAACCAATACGTTGGATGATTTTGGTTTTCATCAGTCAAAAGTATTTACAGCCAGTTTAAAGTATCTAGGATGTAAACTAATATGTTTTGCCTTCTGCACCTTAAAATATTGTATGTGAGCACTCGTTATAAATTCAATGTTATCTATGAAAATATGTAATAAATAACCTTGGAATTGTTTTTTTGGAACCTGTTGTCCTCGGTGTTCTACTAGAAACTACAAGCGGCTTAGCATCAATGACCTCGTCTCTAGGAGGTACAATGATTAGAGCCATGGGGTTGTCATCATGTTTAGTGGCCAGCTAATTTCTTTTAAGAGCAAGCTTGGCCTTTTGCCTTGATCCCCATATGGCCGTTGCATTTATGTTTCTCCATTTATCCTGGTCACATTGAAACTATACACATTAGTTCACCTCTAGGCATGCCAGAACACTGGCAATCAAAATAACAGAGAGCAGCATTTCAATAACTTAAGAGCTATTAGAAAAGGCAGAGATAGGACACAGCAACCTCTGGTCACTAAACCAGAAAATTAAATCACTCATTCCAACTGTACTTAGTGAATCCTGCTTGAGGCTCAGCTACATACCTTGAGATCCACATTTGAGCGTGAACGCAAGACAGAACTAAACACAGGATCTGAATGGATAATGCGCCATTTTCCAGTACCATGCTTAAGAACTCCTACCTTGAGTGCAGGTTCTTCTTCCGTTGTCCATTTCTGCTTAGGGACACCCATTAACAAATTCCTGAAACCCCCAATGAAAGAAAATATAAACACTTGGAATTTGAAAAGATCAAACACTAATAAAATCAATCCTATGTGTTATGCACCAATCCATCAAAGTTTAGACAACTAGCAAAAAGCATTCCAATCGAAGAAAAATAGGCGCAAAAACTGAATAGCATAACTCGACATTCACAGACTATTTTCCCCCCAAAATTTTCCCAATAATCTGAGGCTCCAATTCTCAGCCATAGTGAAATTCCATTCAAGATAAATTTAAAACATCACAATAAAAGCATACCGAATAATGAGAAATTAGAAACAAAACAGAAAACAAAATCCTTGATTCAAATGAGTTTAGAAATTTGGACAAAGTTCTACAAATCCAAAGGCCCACTAAAGCATAAAATAACTTTCAACATCTCTCGACTCAAATTATACATATCTATAGACTAAATCCATCACAGCATGCATTTACAGCTTAAGAAATGTACGTATAACCATGAATCTTTAATTTCCTCTCAAAATACAAAAGTAAATTCCGGAAAAGGCAGAGTTATGAACATTCAGAAGTCTTGTAATTTGATATCCAACATTTTCCTCCTATGTAGAGCAATATTAACATCGATGAAACAACAAGAAATCAGATTAATGCATTCTCATCCAAATCTTCGACTTCGACAAAGCTTCAAAAGGACCAAGTTCTCTAGAAAAATTTGAAACCAAAAAGAAAAAATTGCATTAAATACTGAATTTCGAATTATGAGTGAATCGAGGATGATTATAAGAGTACCTGATTTTCAACAACAATGATTTTCAGCAATTCGACTGCCTTAGTCTTTCCTTTAGCACTTCCATTCTTCATCAAGTCAGTAACCCCTTCGATAACTTTAGCACCCATATCCCTAACTTCTTTCCTCCCCTTCTTGCCGCCACAACAAGCCAAGTTCAGCAGAGCCTCACTGCGTTTTCTCTTATTCTTTCAGCAGAGCCAAGTTCCTACGTTTTACGGTAGGAAGGTTAGGAACGATAAGAAGAAAAATAGGTAGGAAAATTAGGGATTGGAACTATGGGTATTAAATGGTTTAACTATTGTAGCGTTTGTATAAACAAAAGCCGCTACTGTACCATTCAATAGCTACATTTTTACATAAACGCCGCTAATCTACGTGTCAATACTGGCATTTACGCAAAATTGCCGCTATAAAAACACTGCTAATGTTTCAATTTTGTGGTGTTTGCCCCACAAACGTCACGTGTTTTAAACATTTAGCGGCGATTTCACAAAAACACCACTATATATCCGCCTATCGCGGCGTTTTTATATAAACGCCACTAAAGTACGAGCTTTTAATGGAATTTCCCAAAAATGTCACTATAAATTTGGATATAGCGGCTTTTGTCTAAAAACGCCGCTATATATAAACAATTACCGGCGTTTTCGCTAAAAACCAGTTTTGTTGTAGTGCCTGGGGTGTAAATTTCGCCAAGTCTCAAGATTGGAAATCGACCTATTAAGGTGAAGGCTCGTCAGGATGGAGCAGGAGTGGGGGAGGTTGGTTCTTCATGTAAGAGCAATGATTGGCTACAGGGTTTTTCCAAGCAGTTGGAGGAGTTTGGAAAACTAAAAGATCCTATCTCACAATTAAAGCTCACCTGGTCGAGCGGGTCTCATGAGTGATGATGAGGAGTTGGAGGAGGTGCCAGAGTCTCGGGTTCAAGTATGAGGTTTTGTTCTTTCTTCTTTATTTACTTCTGATGAATTGTTTATTTTGGAATTGTCAAGGGGCGGCCAGCCCCACCTTTCATAGAATTTTGAAGAATTTTGTACAGGAATTTCAGCTTAATCTTGTTGCTTTGTTGGAAACTCGAATCAATGGAAGGTTGGCGGATAGAGTTATTTCCAAACTGAATTTTTTGTATTCATTCCGAGTGGAGGCTCACGGATATAGTGGTGGGATTTCTATTTTGTCGTATGATGATGTTGAGTTCGAAGTCTTAGGCATTTCGAATCAATTTATTCATGGTCGGGTTACTTGTGTGGATAGCGGGGATTGGTTTCTGCTTACTATTGTGGATGCGAGTCCAAACTGGTCCGCTCATAAATCTCTATAGCCTTCTATTCTCTCTTTGGATCCTGGGAAGAATGTTCCGTGGTTACTAGGTAGAGACTTTAACTCCATCCTCAGTGCGGATGAAAGGAGTGGAGGTTCTTGAAGTCCTCTCAGGATTAGTAAACTGTTTGGAGACTTCATACACATGACTGTTTTAGTTGATTTGGGTTTTCACTTTCACTTGGTTGAATGTGTGTCTTCATCAACATTTGGACTGATTCTTAGCCAATGGTTTGCTACATTCTTCTTTTCCGAATTCTTGGGTATTTCACCTTGATCGGTTGGGCTCGGACAATCGTTCGATTTTGTTTCGAAGTGTAGTGGAGGAACGTCAAGGGGGTACCCGACCATTTCGGTTTTTAGCGGCTTAGAATGATCATCCCCAATTTCAGGAGTTTTTGCATTCGGTTTGGGTAGAGGAAAAGAACTTTGAAGCGAATTTGAGGGAATTTACAACCAAAGTGAATGATTGGAATGTGGAGGTTTTCAGTCATATAGGGCGGAAGAAAATAATTTTTCTTGCTCGACTTATGGGTATTGACTGGGCTCTGGCCTTGTACCACTTAGATTTCCTGTGTGAGTTGGAAAGTAATCTTCGTGAGGAGTTAAAGTTGGTCTTGGAGCATGAAGAGAGCTTCTGGTGACAAAAAACTTGATCGAGGTGGATCATCCATGGTTATCAGAAAACCAAATATTATCATGCGTTGGTCATGGCCGAAAGACAGAGGAATAAGATTACCACACTCAAGAATTATTCTAGTAATTGGTGCACTGTGGAGGACGATCTCAAAGATCTACATGTCATATTTTACAATAACATTTTCCGAAGTTAAATAGTCCCTAGAGATGTGTTGGAACGGGGTTTATTTCCGATTGTACCAAGATCCCAGTTGCACTATTTAGGGCGCCCACTTACCGATGAGGAAGTGCGAGATGCTTTTGATTTGATGGCCCCTTATAAATCGCCCGGTATTGATGGTGTTCATACATGTTTTTACCAGAAGAATTGGTCCGTTGTGGGGAATGTAGTTTGTACCTATCTTCGGGGAATTTTCGAGGGTGAGCAATGGCACCCTGAGTTGAATAGGACCCTTCCTATGCTATTATCGAAAATATCGATCCCAGAGACTAGTTAATTTTGACCCATTAGCCTATGTAATGTTGTGTACAAGGCTCTAACGAAGGTAATTGTTAATTGTTTAAAGTCGCTTATGCCGAAGTGTGTGACAAAAAATCAGACTAGTTTTGTTATAGGGAGATCAATTGTTGATAATATTATTATTACACAAGAAGTCATACTTTTGATGAAATCTAAATCAGGTCTGAAGGGTTGGATGGCCATCAAAATTGACCTGGAAAAGGCATATGACCGATTAGAATGTGCTTTTTTTGAGTATACATTGGAGGACCTGGGTGTCCCCGACCCGTTACTTAGGGTGATTATGCGGTGTCTGTCTTTGGTGTCTACTAGTATTCTTTAGAATGAAAGTCAGATTGATTTTCATCAAGGTGATCCTTTGTCACCTGACCTTTTCGTGTTGTGTATGGAGAGACTGACGCAAATGATTCAAACGTTTGTAGGTAGGGGTCGATGGAAACCTTTTATAAAGTCTAATTCAGGGCCAGGGATATCACATCTCTTTTTCGTCGGGGTTCCTCTTCTTCATGGTCGGGATATGGCGCCTTATTACCGTTATTTAACCCGGATGGTTTTGAAAATATTGAATAGATGGAAAATGAGATCTCTTTCCTTTGCTAGACGGGTTATGCTTGCGAAGTCAGTCTTGGCAGCCCTTCCTATGTACACAATGCAATCAGCGATCCTCTTGCGAGGTATTTGTAAGGATATTGAGAGTCGTATATGTCGTTTTATTTGGGGTATTGAGGAAGGCAAGAATGGCTTGCATCTTGTTAAATGGCAGGAGGTGTGTCGGCGGATTAATCAGGGTGGTTTGGGTTTTCAGAGCCTAGAAAAATAAAATGAGGTGTTTCTCATGAAGATTGCGTTCAACATTCTGGCTAAGAATGACCAACTATGGGTGAGAATGGTTTGGGCAAAGTACAAATGATTGGATGGCATTCCAGAAGTGATTCGTACGTCTAGTTATTCTACACTGTAAAGGGGTCTTGCGGCTATTTAGACGGATATTCAAAGTCATGTCACCTAGTGCATTAGTAACGGTAAGGTAGTGGATTTCTAGTTTGATGTCTGACTTGATGATCGTGGTCCCTTAATTAATCACGTGACATCGCTGGAGCTATCGGTATGCAACATAGTACCGTGGCCGATATGACAGATGATGATGGTAATTGGCGGTGGTCACAATTTGAACAGTTTCTTCTACCGAATATATTGTTAATAATTGTAGCTAAACAAAGGTCCAATAGTTCACCTTGAGGATGATACAGTTGGGTGGAGCCTTAATGCAGATCGTCGATTCTCGTTAGGTCATCGTATGAGCTTCAAATTGCTGATTCGCCTAGCCTTATTAACAACATTTGGTGAAGGTTAGCGAGTATCAAGGCCAGCAAGAAATTCAGTTTTTCTTATGGTTGTGTTGTACTGAATGTGTGTTGACAAACGCATAGCGGGCTCGTCGGCATTTAACCATGGAAAGTTGATTTCTGATTTGTGTTGCGCCTGTGGAGGACGTCTATGTTCCTAAGTGACCTTCCTCTGGTCTTCTTTCGTGAAAGGTAATAAACTGACTGAATTTTTGGAGATGAATTTGCATGGATGGATGGTTTTAAAATTGTGAGGTGCTGTTGATTTTTTTGGAGTTAGGGATCGATGGGATATTCTATTTGGAGATCTTGTTTGGAATATATGGTTACAACGTAACTCCATTATGTTCGACTCTCCCTGGGAAGATAATTACTCGGTGTTAGATTGGAGTAAATCCATTTGGGAATCAACTTGTAAGGCGTTGATTGAAGTGAGGATAAAGAATTCGCA